GGATACCACATCTGCTCAAAGAACCATCCTTGCCTATGTCCTTCAACCAGCATGGCTACAACCAAAAACCCAGCCTCCGTTAGGTATTCTTTTTCTCTTTGTAAGTCCGTGCATGGAAGAGGACAGAAAAAGTGAGCAGGTGTCCAGAATCCTCCTCCCCACAAAAAGGAGTTCTCCATTTAAAACTCATGATAAATGTAGGATATTTGATTTTTGAAGGAGGAGATGGTGTTTACAGCACTACTAAATTCGAAACATTCCCAAATTGTTCATCAGGCCTGACAAAATTGCGAAACTTTAAACAAAACAAAACAAAAATCTTGGCTTCTGTTCATTTAATTTCCAGTACTGGTGTTTTTGGGGGTGACAATTTTAAGGTTTGTTTCACAAATAGGAGGCTTAGAAGCTTTTAATTTAAGTGAAAGCCAAAAGTCGCACATAATAACATGAATCTAGGAGACAGAACTTTTGGCGGGGTGGCGGGGTAGGGAATTGAAGGAAAGAAGGCGTCAAAAGTTTTGAGATTCATGGTAAAACTGTAACAGCTAGCCAGATTTGATTTACATGGTGAGATATGTGCCTCCCCCTTGCTGAGCAGAGCTCTATCATCTCATACCTTGGCTAGATTGGGGTTTGGGTGCCACAAAAGTAAGGCACTTTTCTGTCCCTTTCTTTTGGGTACTTTCAAATCCCTTGGGCTCTGTACGTGTTTCTCCCCCTTCTCCAAACTCAAGGCTGTTGGGGCTAGAGGGGAAGGTAAGTTTCAAGCCCCTCCGTGCTGGTGTGTTGTGTGACAATTTAGGGGAGTGCTTCACCTACCTTGCAACAGGCTCCCATTGCCCAGAGATCCAAGAGCAAGCTCTGGCTGGGCAAAGCTCCTTTGCAGGCTTCCGACACCAGGCCTTTAGAGTTTACCCATGGGATGTCTCTTTCTTTGTCCACATACCTTAACCCTTCAAAATGTCTCTCCGGTCCCTGAAACAATCTAGCCTTGCAGATGCAGGGGGCAGCCAGTTGAGGAAAGCTCTCCTGAGAAGGCTTTATTGCCTGTTTGCCCTTCCATCAGCGAGCAGGGGCAGAGAATTATGAGGGGAACTCAGATTAACCTAGTCTGTTTGGTAGGGCTGTACGAAGTTTCGGGTGCTGATTTGATTCGGAGGAGATTCAGCCCGATTCGGTGGCTGAATCTCCAAATCCGAATCAAATCAGGGGACGAATAAAAAGGTCTGAATCGACTTGGAAAAGATTTGGAGAGCTTTAGCGATTTGGGCAGTCCCTGGTTGCTGCAGCAGGGAGCTGGACCTGGACTCCATGCTGGTAAGTGGGGGGAGGGGAGGGGAACATGGGGCAACCCCCACCAGGCCGCATTCCCTGCCTGCTCCCACAACCTCTGCCCGCTCCCCAACCCCCCGCATGGCTGGCCTGCCCACCCCAGCTCCCGGCCCTTAAAAATAATAAAAGCCCCGCACTGCAGCAGCCTCAGGGCTCCTGGGGGTCTGGACCTGGACTCCATGCTGGTAAGTGGGGGGAGGGGAGGGGAACATGGGGCAACCCCCACCAGGCCGCATTCCCTGCCTGCTCCCACAACCTCTGCCCGCTCCCCAACCCCCCGCATGGCTGGCCTGCCCACCCCAGCTCCCGGCCCTTAAAAATAATAAAAGCCCCGCACTGCAGCAGCCTCAGGGCTCCTGGGGGTTCATGGCAGAGCCCCCCCACACAGCATGGGGCAGTGGGGGGGCAGCGGGGATTGACTCCTCTGCCTGGCATGAGCCGGTGAGTCAGGGCTGCTTCTTTTTTTTTTTTTTTTTAAGGGCCAGGAGCTTGGGCAGCCATGGGGGCAGGCTGGGGGAGAGCGGACGGGGGTTGGGGGGCTCGTGGTAGAGCCCCCCATGCAGTGTGGGGCAGTGGGGGCAGCGGGGATCGCCCCCCTGCTGGGCAGCAGCCTATGCCTCTGCACTTTTTTTTCAAAGAGCTGGGTGCTGGGGCAGGTGGGGCTGGGAGAGCGAGCGGGGGATGGGGCTTGGGAGAGTCGGAGATTCGGCCAATTTGGCAGTAGCCGAATCTCCGAATCAGATTCAGCCGAATCAATTTGGGACAGTGATTCATATCACCGAATCGAATCTCTGTCCCCCGAATCCGAAGCGAATACTAGGTGTTTTGCACAGGCCTACTGTCTGGTTTATTTTTTTCTTTTTCTAGTCACTCCCCAAGCCTGGCTGGGGTGTATGGTTTTTAGTTTTATTTTTTTACTACCCCTCCCCCTTTGCCCTCTGTGCAGCTCAGTAGCACATCATTTCTTCTGCTCCAGGTAACCATTATCATAATCCTCCAAAGCTATGCAAACTTCCTGCAACCCTGGCTGCCTCTACAGAGAGCTGGCATTGTGGCTTTCGTGTTTAGTGCAGGGAAAACAGTTGTCCCCTTCTGTGTCAGTCTCTCTCTCTCTTTTTTTGTTCCCCTTAAGCTGCTTTTCATCTTGCCTCCTCATCCCCCTTTTCACTTTCATTCTGTTCTTTTGGCCCTCCCTTGAACTGTTGCATGTCATTGAAGATGGTAATCTGGCAGCTGATAAGAGGGGTAAAAAGTAAGCTACTGTGTGTGCGTAAGAGAGAGAGTGTGAGTGAGCTCAAGCAAACACACTGTCTTAATCCATCTCTCAGCATGTGAAGTGATTGAAAAGAATTCCTGCCCCATCCAGGCAGACGGAGACTCTGTTGGAGCAGGCAGTAGTGAGAGAGGTTCTCCAGACATAAACTGGGTGAAGCAAACAGGTTCTCCAGTCCGCACTCGCCTCTCATTAGATGTTCATGGGAGTGAGAAGGTGTTCTGGAGGTTTTTCTACCTGCTGCCAGGCATGCCAAGGGGCGGGGGAAGAGAGAAGGAGACAGATTCATTCAGAGACTGCAGAGGAGATGCTGTCGCTGCTGCCGTAGCTGCTGCCGCTGCTTACCGCCACGACAAAACCTTTCCAGGCTGCTTGGCTGAAAGGAGCCAGCAGGTGCTTTATGCACATTGGAGTCATTTGGGTCAATTATCTGTCTGTTTATTTATTTATTTCCTCCTTCCCACGTCTTCTTCCTCTTTCCCCCTTCTCTCCTTATTTCCCTCTTCCCCCCCACCTTCCCCTTCCCTGTTCTTGCTGTAATAATGTTCAGGCATCTCTCAATAAGCCCAGCCTATGGTGGATCAGGAGGGGAAGATTGTGTACTGGTGATTACTGCTTTGTTCACAGGTTTGCTTAGAGGAAAGCAGACTCAGTCATTTATTTTATTCTGCTGGAATAATGTCAGTTCATGAAGCTGAGATGCAAGGAGCAGGGATGTTTAAAAAAAATAATAAAGCCCAAAAAGAATGACCCCAAACGCGACAGTTGCTTTTAACAATTGCAAGTAGCCTATTGGTATGTAGGAGTGTGAAAGGGGCTGTACATCAGTTCTCAGGTAGAGCTTAGTTTGGCTCACTCCCAGTGGCTGTGCTGTAGTTGGGGAGCAGCTGGTAGCCTCTCCTTTTGGTATTGTATACCCTGCTGTTTTAGGCATTTAATCCAGATAGAGGCATGAATGAGAACCCAAGTGAAAAGGAGGGAGGAATGAATCAGGATTCAGAAAAATTGCACAGCAGGTTTGCAGTGTTGGACGCTCCTCCTTCATTGAAAGTAGGTTCTGTTTGCAGTGGATGGCTGTAGGCAGAAAAATAGCAATTAACATTTTATTTTTAATATGGCATCTGCAACGGAGGGAACATAAGGACACAAAGGCAGCTTGCTGATTTGCTACTTAAGTTAGTGTTGTTTTTCTACCATTTTCTTGGATATCTTAAGTGTATTATTTGCATGTTTGTATGTATGTGTATGTGTATTTTTCTCTCTGTTCAACCAAGTGCCTTTCTCTCACTGCATTTTCAGACTTAATCCATCTTTGCTTAATGGGGCTCTAGTGAGTTTTTGAAGTCCCCACATAGCTGTCTCTCTGCTCTCAGCAGAGCTAGTGAGAGACCCTGAAGATGCTTACACAAATGCAACTGGGTAGAGCAAGAATTTGTAGTAAGATTTTTGTTCTGATTTGTAGAGTTCTGTGTATCTGACTGTGGCTGCTGCTTCTTGCTGTCGACATTTTTAAGGTGTTGGAGGGTCAGAGTGCAGACTTCAGTTATTGTACATATCGTTTTTACTGGGTTTAGAAGCATTAATCTTTCCCCGCACTCAGGCAGTTGGTGACAAGCCAGAAAATAGTTTATTGAGATTTTATCTTTGGGGGGTGGCTTCTGCATCAGAAAGCACCAGAGAAGGCAAAAACTGATGAGCTGAATAGCTGCAAGAGGAATAAGCATGCCAGGAGCTTATTTTAGTGCCCAGACAACCTGATGGTGGACTCATCGGAAATATATATAGACAGATTGCTCCCTTTGAGTGCGTGTGTATTATCAGCTTCCACTAAGTTTGATGATGTCTCTTCACATCCCTGTTGTCCAAGGGAAAATGCAATGGAGACCTGGGATGCCTTCCACACCTTGTGGGCATCCTTAGAGGTCAGGTTAATCTATTTCCAATGTGGCACTGTGTCTGCGATGAGCTGCTTTTAACAGCAGGAGCTGTGAATACATGCCGTCACTGCCAGGGATTCTTTCCAGAGGGGATTTTTTTTCTTTCCTTCTCCCTAATTCAATTCTGCAGCAGCTGCAGTAAAAAGCAGCAGCACACCCTCTCCCTGGATTTTTCTTACTGATTACTAATGCACTGGGCTTTATTTCTTCCTTTTCCATTTGAAACATGTCGCCATGCAACAAATTGTGGACCGTCCAACAAGTAATTCCTTACTAAACTCCTCCTGCCTTGTGCTCTCTCTCTCTCTCTCTCTCTCTCTCTCTCTCTCTCTCTCTCTCTCTCTCTCTCTCTCTCTCTCTCTCTCTCTCTCTCTCTCTGACTCTTAGCACTCCTTCCCTGCCTCGCCCCTCACTGGTGAAATGCATGGGGTGGTGAATGCACACAGGCTCTAGCATGTGTGAGTGCACGTCTGGATTAGCGCACACGGATGTACGCGCGCACCCGCTAGGACACCTCTGGTGCCATGTCTTCGTTTGGGAAGCTCACGGAGTACTTCAGCCTGAGGAAGTCGAGGACCGAGTTCCGCTCAGAGCGGCGGAGTGGCCGGCGCAGTGGCAGCTACTGCTGTAGTGTCAATGAATGCAGGTACTGGAAGGACAGAAATCCACTGCTTCCTCCCGGCACATCTGTGTGTGTGCTTGTGTCTGTGGGTCATTGTGCTCAGGGGAGGCAGGAGGGGGAGGCATTCTTCTTCTGTCATTATTGTGATGGGAACTTGAGGAGAGGGCTGGGGCATGGTGGCATAAATGGTGGCTACGTGTCTTTGTTACTGCACACACGACTCCATCTGTCGTTGGGGTCGGCATGGACCAGGTGCTGAGCATCAGTGTCTGTTCTCAGCTGGGAATGAGTTGTAGTTGTAACCACAACTCAGACATCGGTTCTGTAATTGCATGCATTCATACTTGCTCTTTTCTCCTTGTCTGTCTTTTTTTGTATCAGACTACTGCACCTGTTCTCTCAACTACATTATATTAAAGCTATTGTAGGTAACATGTAAATGGCTGTGGTACCCTTTTAACTAGAACTCTGAGCACTGAGAGCCAAGTATGCTTTGCACAAAGAGCAATGGCTTGTTTAACAGGTTAAGTTCAAAGAGTGTATGTGTGTGGGAGTGATAATGGAGTCTCTTGTTTGCAGACATACCACGTCTGCTGAGATTGAGGGGAACCTAGTGCCATTAACCTCCTTGCATAGGTCCTAACGGCCATCAAGGCTTGCTGGTGCAAAGAGCTGCATATTCATTTTGGGGACAGGATAAAGGTGGTGAAATTTCTACTCCCCCTCCTCTTGCCCCCGCTCCCCCTACAAAGGACACAGGCATACATATAGTTCACTTCATCCCAGGTCATTTGTAATTGCAGTGTACATCAATAAAGGAAGCTGTGTTTGCATATAGAGGTTGTCAGGCTGGTTTAAAATTGCTGGGCTCCGTGTCTCAATACAGCCTTCAGTGGGGGTGGGGGGCTGTTAGGATCATGCCTGGAGATGCCAAGGCAACCCAGATGTATAAGGAATAGTGCACGGGGGATATGATATACATGTTTGGTTGTGTTGCATGTGGAAAATGCTTTGTGTCCATACGTGTGTGATTTATTCTACCACGAGTGTTCAGGCAGTTTGTTGGTGAGTTCGGATGGGGTCTTTGCTGCCTTTGCTACTATTGTTTCTCTTATATTAATTTAAAAGGGATGCTTTTTTGTTGGGTGGGAGCACAGAACATCAGTGACATTCTGATCAACTATCTCTCCCCAAAACTCACCTTCTGACCTGTGTGTGGGACTTGTCTTTTGGAGAGGTGCTAGTGATGGATGCCAGCTTTGTGCAGCAGAAAATATCATTGGAGGGCTTCCAGCTCCAAACACAAGCTGTGCATGGAGGGTGGGGCACTCTCCTGTGTTTGCACTTTTGTTTCTCATCTTTCCCCACGTACATCTGTCTAGTTCTCATCAACTTCATGCTGGGTTTGGCAAGAGAGACATGGTATAAAATGAAATAGTGCTATAGCATCTCTTACAGTTCCCTTGCAAGAGACCCAGGCACTCAGATCCTGTGCTCAGTGTTTAAGTATCTATGCAGATGAGATGATGGGCTTTCACTCATCTTGCTGTTTTGGATCACTTTGTGTGTATTCTTTCTCTTACAACTTTCTTCCTGAATTCTCTGCTCTGCATGGCAGGGGTGAGACAAGAAGACCTATGTGCTGGTGTTGCCACCAGCCATTCACCAGGTTCACCTGGAGAATACAGGGGACAGGACTAACCACTTCCCCCATCTTGTAGTCTAGAGTGCTTGTCCCTAGCTATGGAGTTTTAGATTGGATCATGAGTTTGTAAAACTAAGGAGAGAGCAGAGAAGATCTGATTGTTCCTCTGATGCCCTCCTTCAGTGTAAATTCAGGGCATACCTGATATCAACCTGTATTTCTTTAAAGCACTGGTTCAGGTCTGGTCTTGGGGATGCTTAGGTTTCGGTGGGGAAAAGTTTGCAAGTGCTGGGAAATGGCTTTGTTGCAGCTGGGCACATAAACCAAGGGCTGTGTAGAGAGCAAGCTTGTGCCATGGATGGAGCTTCCTTTTGGTGCAGTCACTGGGTCTCCATAACCTTGTTGCTCCCTATCCTACTGACCCCCACACCTCCATACAGTGGGAAGACGGTCTTGGGTGATACAGACTTCCAGATGTTGGAGTTGGGGAGGAATGGTGCCCTGGGTTGTTCTGCCTTCCCACAGGGATCTCCTCCAAGAGAGACGGAAATTTACCTTCCTGGCTCTGTTACCTTGCATACACTGGAAAATGTTTGATGGTATGGATGTATCTTCGAGCTGTCTTTATGGTGATGTAGGTTACATCTACAGTGGGGTATTTTATCAGTCTAGGGATATAGGTATGTTATACCAGCAAAATATACAGGTACCACAATTTGTCCCCCACAAGCTAGCCTGTACCAGTAGGAGAATGTACTTGCTGTTATAGTAGTGTCTACACTGGGAGATTCTCCTGGCAGAGTAACCCCAGTCAGTGACTATGCATTTTCACACCCTTGGCCAACTTGAGAATGCAGAAGCTGGTAGGGTGGATGTAACTATAGGGGCAGGTTATCCCAGTTATGAAATCAGAATGGAGCAGTAGTGGCACAAGGACATGTTGCCAGTAAAACTGCTTCTGCACTGTGGCCTCTGCCCATATACGCCACGTCCAGATAAGCGTGTTCCAGATGAACATTCATTTGTTCTCCATGCTGCAAGGGAGCTGTGTGTGTGGTGGGGGGAGGAGGTGAAGGTATCCAGAGGTAAAAAAAAACCTCTTAAAAAAAAGCAGAGCAGCACATGCAGGAGCAGCATGTGCCACTCAGAACTGGAGCCTGGGTGGCTGGAGCAGCATTCCGGCTGCCAGCCAGGATTCATGCAACAGGATTGCCGCTGCTGCAGCCCCGGGAAGCCCCCAGGATCTCAGGTAAGGCTGCTGGGGCCAGCCCACTGCCAGCCCCAGGCTCCCCTACCTCACCCAGGGTAACCTGCTGTGTGCCAGAGCATTCATGGCACAGGTATTCCCCGGGGACAACTAGCAGTGGCACAAGGTGTGCCACTGCTAGTTGTTCTCGGGGAACCAAACGTCCACACACACGTGGATGGGGCCAGTGTTGTTGATCTGGGGTATGACTTTTTTTTAAATCCTAAATGGCATTGCTTTGGTGGAGAACTTCACACCTGTAGATCAAGCTTGTATCAGTGAGGAAGGGTAAATTGATTTGAAGGGAAACATTGTCCCTGTCTCTGCACCTTAATTCTCCATTATCATGCATGTCCACCCTTCTTCACATCTGGGCCGCTGCCAGCAAGGGAAGAAATTGGTGTAGTTGGCATTTTATATCCCATGCAGGACATATGTAAATTACTGCGTGCCGCAAGGCAGCAGAGGCTCAAGCCCTTTGCATGCACCTGGTGATATGGTATGTCTCCTTGCTCCCTTGATTGCAAGTAATTGATTACAAAAGTAAAAATAAAATTATGATTGAAGCATGGAACACTTGAAATTAAACTGTCACTTTTCACCCAAATTGATTGGGTGGTATTTTGCCTGTTTTTTTCAACCCTATCTATTTTGGGAAACAAGAATTAAGAATGCTTTCTTTAATTAGTTCTAGCTTCTGTTGTGACACCAAGGCCCCAACTCTGAATACTTAGAAGCCTTCAGAGATCTAACGTATGAAGCAAAGGTAGTAAAAATGTGCTTGTAGGTACCTAAAAGGGTTTGTTCTGCCTGTCAAACCCCACCTGCTCTTTATATGGTAGCTTTCTTTAGCTTTGTGGAGCTGCCTTCTGTGCATATTTCATAGCAGAATGATAATGTTGGCAAAACAGGAATATAAATAGGATGTCCAGATTCCTTATTTGCAGGCTCAAATTAGCTCAGAGGCAAAAAAGCCTAGTTTTCAGACCCCCGTATTGGACTTTTCAGAACTCTATTAGAATCCTGTCAGCTACTTCCATGTTTTCTGCTAGGGAACCAGCGGACCTGTTGCTGTGCTCTAAAACCTGTTTGCCAAACAGGACCAGTAAGACCCAGTTCAAACTGGCATTCTCACTAAAGAAAATAAGCTAGTATGAGTTTTGTGTGGTGCTTCTCATGTTCAAGGGACTTTACGCTTATTAACAAATAGGATGCCTTCTGTCTTTAAAATTTCTGCTTTTTTTAAATAGGCCCAGGGATGCAAACTCACCTGTCTCTGAGAGGTTAGGCAGAAAGTATTGCATTTGCAAACTTGAGGGACTGTGCCTGTATTAGCAGAACTCAAATCACAGCTTGGTAGAGGGCTGCTTTTCCAGAGCAGCCTCTGCTTGCTAAAGCAGTGCATGAGTAGGTGGTGCTCAGGTTTCCTGCACTCATTACTGCCCATGACCTGCAGCACCTAGCAAGTTTTCAGTCCAGAGCTGTAGTCACAGAGCTGTATTCTGACCTACAGCTCCCCTTGTTCTCATTCCATATCTCCCCTAGACAGAAACTTCCAGCTATGCTCAGTGATGAGGGGGTTTATAGTGGTGGCTTTAAAAAAAATACTTAAATCAAATGGATAACAAGGTCTTCTGAGGGGAAGGGTTAGGGTTTGTCAGCTCAATTCTCAAGAGAGCAGAAAGTGGAATCTCAGTAGAACTCACTCTGAGATTATGAAGGAAGCATGCACACTTGTCATTGGAAAGCAATCTCAAAAATGAGTGGAAAACTGCTTTTGTGTGGAACTTGTCCATCTGTGGAAAATGTAAAGGAATTAACAATGGATGGGCTAGCTCTCTAAATGATATCAATTCATGGAGCCCCATTGGCGTACACTAGCTGAGGGGGTAATGCAACATATGAACTGTCAGACTGCTGTGTGTTATGTGACTACACGGGAAGGAGTAAGCAGCTGAAAACAGATTTTATTTGAGCAGGGGTTCTTGGCTGCCATGGCAGCTCATAGGCTGGAGCAGCAGATGTCAATCATGTTGCAGATGCAACATGCCCTGGTTTCTGGTTGAAGGACTCCATCCATCTCACTGCTGCTGAGATTATTTGCCTAGAGCCTGGCTACCAGACTGCATGAAT